GGAGACAGATCTTGCTGTGGAGGATCTCGATGAAGTGGGCAATATACCCGGTTATAGCAACATCCACAGCAGTCTGCGTAGGAGGTTTTCCGAGCATTCGGGTAACCTCGAGAAGCAGCTGCCTTCCACTCTCACCCCCCTTGAGAACCGTGCGCTGGAAAGTATTCGTAAGGCCAATTGGCAGACTTCCCTCGGATTTGGCAGCCTCGCCGATATTCCTCAGAGCAGGCGACACTCTTTCGCAGATATTCCCGTTCGGCACGCTTCTATTTCTGGCGACTCTCAAGCAGCGGCCACCTCCCGGGCTGGATTGGGAGATCGGGAGGACCATCTTGTGAATATCAGTGATGGTTCCCTTTCAAATGCCCAGAGCCAGAATCGTGAGTATCACCGTTTGCATATGGCTTCTCGTCCCGAGGAACATGAAATGGAAATGGAATATTTACGAGCTCGTCAATTTGCAGAATCCTACTTTGCTCGCGACCAAGCTCTACGTGTTGCCGAAGGACCCTCTGCAGTTCCTACTTCGCTTCACCAGGCTTATACGATGCCAAACGCTTACGGCCGCCACCAGTCCGGTCTTGCACATGGCCATCAGAATCAGCTTCTGTATATCGTGACTTTCAAGTGCCACCGTGCCGACGTTTTCTACATTCAAGAAGACACTGGTTTGCAGGTGAAACCCGGTGACTTGGTTATTGTTGAAGCGGATCGTGGCACAGATTTAGGCACTATCCAGCATGCGAATGTATCCTTGCAGAGAGCTCGGGAGCTGAAACAGCAGTATGCAGAGGAACACTACAAATGGCTGATGATGTTCTCTCGGCAAGGCCAGAACGGAGCCGCGAACGTGGCGGGGAGTGTTCCAGCCTTGAGCGGAAGAAGCACTATCGGTGGCATGGGTCCTCATGGTCCGCATGGTGTGCAGGATTTAGCAGGAGATATCAAGCCTAAACTCATCAAGAGACTTGCCCAGAACCACGAGATCCTGACGCTCCGCGACAAAGAGGGCAACGAGGCGAAAGCAAAGCGGGTCTGTCAGCAGAAAGTTGCCGAGCACAGACTCAACATGGAGATTCTTGATGCCGAATTTCAAATGTAAGGATTACGTCCGGGCCATCGAATTCATGGTACTAACTGCGACAACAGGGATTGGAAGAAACTCACTTTCTATTACTTTGCGGATTCATACATCAATTTCAATTCTCTTGTGACTGATCTTTTTAAGATCTACAAGACCAGGATCTGGATGTCGGCAATCAATCCAGCATCCTTTGTGACCCCGCCAAATGCTGGCTTGCCGCCGCCGGGAGGTGTTGGAAATGCCGAAGGCAGAGTGTACGGCGGAGCTCGAGACGGCATAGATGTTGGCAGAGACACAATCGGCAATAAGGGCGCGCCCCTCCGCAGCACCTACACAGATCCTTATCAGTCTTTTTCCCAGGGTGCCCGACAGCCTGATTCCAGCCTTGGTGAACTCGCACCCAGTGCCGATCCCTTCTCTGCATACCCGCCAAACGCTTATGGTAGCACCCTGGACACTGGCTATGTTGACTATGCCGCGCATAGTCCTGGCGTTGGCGTTGGTCCCTCTCGAATTCACAATGCACCAAATGACTGGACCACCCGGTTCCAGGGCCTGTCACTTGGATCTTGAACGAGAGCCATCGTACCCTTGGCTCAAGGTATCGCTGTCTCCTGTACATGATGTTCGCTGTTGAATCAGTGAAATGACCATGCACGCTGTACTTTTCTTCTCCGTCTCCATGTCCTGTTGGGTTTCAACCTCCGAAAGTGTTCTTTATGCAGTGATTCCCATTTCCCCAGTCGTTCCTTTTCGACCTCGTCGGTTTCTGCCATTTTCTTTCAACGTTCTAGAAAACTTGTGTGACGGATCTGCTAAAAGATTTACGATCTGTCGCTATGCTGATACCTAATAGACCTCAACTCATGAATTCATGGCTTTCCTCTGGTCACTTTTTTGACCACGCTCAAGCAGCTGTACATCAGCACTTGCACTTTGTTCTCTTCTTCGTTTCCTTCTACGATCTTACATACACGTGCTTCTTGCGTGCTATCTCACGTTCATTGCCATACTACTGTCCTGTTTTGTACTCGGTGCCACAATGACAGTTATGAATGACTTTGGTGCAGTTGTGGTGGTTTGCAGGGTTGGAACAGTTGAGAGACTTTTCTTTTCCCTTTCCCTTGTCGAAACTGAGAAACGAAGGATATTGAAATTTTCTTACTACTGGTTTTAAAATTGAACTCTACATTTAGACAAGAAATAAAATTGTTTATGCTTGCAAGCTGATAAACTTCACCTCTCCTTGCGTTCGTAGTACGGCAGAGATGGGGCACGTGCCCAAACCACACCAAGCTGTTGTTGCCTTGCGGCCTTAGGGCTGGACCAAGTGTCGGTTGACCAAACCTAATAAGGAAAAGGAGGATTTTTGATCCGCTGTTGACACCTTAGGCATAAACAAGGGTTAGCGTCAAAGCTGGTTGGTGGATGCGGTTAGGCTCGCGCTCGCCTAATTTGCTAGCGTCCCACACACAACACCCTCACAGAAGAGATCATCTTTCCTTCAATCTTTCCAGAGCGACATCGACGACAACCGACGACCTGCCACGCCGACAAGGTACGTATTCGCGTCCCTCAATTTGCGATAGAATTTGGCTCGAATTGATTCGAATAATCCGATTCAATCTCTTCGCAATTCTCCGATTCATCAAAGCTGATTGATTCCAGATGGGTGCCCTCAAGTACGTGGAAGAGATCCAAAAGAAGAAGCAGTCCGACGTGATTCGCTTCCTGCTGCGTGTCCGTTGCTGGGAGGTGAGAATCCCCCCCTCAATTTCGAACATTTGACATCCCGCCGGGAGGGAGAAGACCTCGTTTGCTTTGCCATAGGATACCCTCGAAAAAAGAGAATTTTTTTGATTCTGGGTGTTGCTGGGCTCGGCTTCGGAGATCGCAAATTTCGCTCACAAAGCTTGCTTTTCTTTCCCGCCGGCGGATGATGTGGATGTGGCACACAAGACAAGTTATATTTGGACTTGTGTTGTCTTGCTATACACTCGTTGAACTTTGCTGAGAGTGCATCAATATAGCTCCGTCAACTGAACGCTATCCACCGTGCTTCCCGTCCTTCTCGCCCCGACAAGGCTCGTCGTCTCGGCTACAAGGCCAAGCAGGGTTATGTTGTCTACCGTGTCCGTGTGAGACGTGGTGGCCGTAAGAGGCCTGTGCCCAAGGGTGCTACCTACGGTATGTTTTGCAAATTCAGGATTTCCTCGATGTGAGGAGATTGGACTAATTGTGTGTTCGCATTACAGGCAAGCCCACCAACATGGGTGTTAACCAGCTCAAGTACCAGCGTGCTCTGCGTGCCACCGCTGAGGAGCGTGTCGGCCGCCGCTGCGCCAACTTGCGTGTCCTGAACTCCTACTGGATCAACCAGGACTCCACCTACAAGTACTTCGAGGTCATCCTCGTTGACCCCCAGCACAAGGCTATCCGCCGCGATCCCCGCATCAACTGGATCTGCAACGCTGTCCACAAGGTTCGTCTACAATTCTCGTGCGACTCGGCACGATTCTGGGAGATTTACGCTACCCTTGCTAACATTTCCTGTACAGCACCGCGAGAGCCGTGGTCTCACTGCCACCGGCAAGAAGTCCCGTGGTATCAACAAGGGCCACCGCTACAACAACACCCGTGCTGGCCGTCGCCACACCTGGAAGATCCACAACACCCAGAGCTACTGGAGATACCGTTAGATGTAGACCGTTGGGTGTTCATGGGGGTTGGTGGTTATGGAAAATTTCTCTCTTCGAGGATGTGTTTATTCCGACAAAAACTCGCTTCTGTGACTTTGTCATTGAATCATCAGGGTGCGAGCCTAATGCAACAGATCTTTCGGATCGGATGTTAGCAAAAACCTTTCTCTCTCTGTTTCTTTCTATGATTCCCTTAACGAAGTACGACGACTCTTTTCTTTCTTCAGGACGCTCCCTGCAGCTTGTAGTGGACTGGTAGGCTGAATGTAGACGAACGTTGATCCGCGACCTGTTGCAAATGATATCCACTGCGGGGGGTTGTCAATTACCGGTTTGATGCTGAATAGCCGCAAGTGGAAGACGTTCGGAAATGCTGATGTTGCAGCAATCTGGAACATGGTCTTTGGTTCACTAAGATACCACTTAGCACAAGTTACGAACTTGTCAGAGATTGTGAGACTAGTCAGAGCTTCAGCGCCCAAAATAGCAGCAGTTCGTGACATCCTAGCGTCACATCCAAGGCCAGCGCCTAAAACGCGGGTCGACCCCATAGCGGTGGTCCAGTAGGGCGACGCCGAGGTAGGCTGTCGCAAGAGTTGTAAGACATCATCAGTTCGATAATTTCTTTCGTCCCGGTTTCTTTCTCACACTTMCAGAATGCCTATTACTCTTTGATGGTCTTAAGAGATCTCTTGAAACTGATATTTAAGTTGATACTGGTTCACTGTGGCTGAAGTTCCGACTCTTCTAGCTTCAAAGACGCTGATGGTGACATTAATACGGTATTAACCGTTTTCTATCACTGCCCCTGACTAATCGCTCTCTTACTCATCAATCATCCACCACTATCATCATCATCATCATTAGAGTTGCATCAATTGCGGCTTCTTCTTTGGTTCCCTTTTTGGTTCCTGAGGTCGCTTGGTTCAGTCGATCTGTTCCAGGTTTTTTTTTCGGCAGGATCCGACCCAGTTTAAACCTCCTTCATACCTCCAACTCCTATAAACCTAGTACCTACGTTGCCTCCTTTCTATCTCTAACAAGCTTCTCTGTGGTTCCTGCACATACTGCCGTTGATCAGACGACACTCGTGCGATACCTAGTTTAACCAGGCCTGAATTAACCGCGTCTGCTTCTAGTCTACGAAGCACTTAATCTACACCTGGAGTTGTTCCAGCTCAGACAGTCACGAGATATACACAAGCTAATGCGCCCATATGCCGTCGCGGTCCGCGTATAACCAGCCTCATCCTCCAACTCTGAACTCCGCCGTCTATCCAAACGCCGCCCTTCATTCTTCTTCAGCGGAGAGGAGTGCACCACGCCACATTCAGCGCGATGTCCCCATCCCGCCGACAATGACCGGCAACCCGGCGACCTCGCCTCCCCACCATCGAGGTCATTCTCGTTCGGTCAGTCACCCGTTTCCCTCCGCCTTTGGCGGCAAGAGACGCAACCCGAACCCGGGTTTCTTAGACTCTGACTCCGACGATGATGACGTTGAGGTGACCAATCTGCCCGATGTGCTTTCAAGTAGCCCCAGGAAAGCCTCTTCACGCCCATTGCCAGGTGGTGAGGCGATCTCAACAGGGAAATGCATGACGTGCAACTCTACTGTTCGGTGGCCGCGAGGGTTAAAGGTTTTTCGGTGCACGGAGTGCTTGACTGTAAATGATCTGGAGCCGTACACTTCGAAGGATTTGGGGAGTCAAGGGAGCACGGGGAAGGATGGGAAGCCTGGTCTGTCCTTACCGAGAAAAGGTGTGCCGACTTTACCTAGGAGCTCTTACCGTTGATCTGGGGCTAACTTACAGATCTAGCGGTTCCTCTCTCCGTGGAACGGACACGGTCCATAATTGATAATTGCGTTTCATCCTATCTGCGACGGCTTTTAGACGCGCCTCTGCCTCAAGCCTTCACATCGGGTGGAAATCGGTCTGAAAAACCCTCGGCTATAGGGCAGGATGAAAATCGTGTGCATACATATGACCATGGTTCGGGTTTACTGTCCGAGCCGCGCGTGGATGTCCGAGCGCGCAGTTCGTCTGCGTCCAGTAAACCCGGGAAACCAGACTGGTTCAACGGAGCCTCAAAGTCTTTGAAGCCTACAGCGAGTTCCTTGGCGCCACATACGGACGTTAGGGATCCTCGGCTACGTAGCCGCAACAATTCAGACGTGCACATTCTGCCCAAAGGCCAACGCTTGCCTCGCGAATCAGGAAGGTCGTGTGAGCGGGACATCAAGGATCAACATAGCCACCCTTACATCTTCAAGCCCCTAGAAGAGTACATACTAGCTTCATTTAAAGGATGCGACATTTTGAATGCGTCCTTTAGTACAGCACAACCTCCCTTACTGGCTGAGAACGCCAGTCCCGATCATAGCCCTCCAAAACCGAACGTGGAGAGCAATGATGCGCTCTCTCATGCGCATCCAGCATTTGAGATCGATGCAAAGACCCTTCTGATTGGAGACCTAGCCGAAAACTCTTCTTGGTGGATGAATGACGGGGACCCAAACTATGGCCTCGGCCATTCACATTCGAAAGGGAAATCTTCAAATCATTCGAAAGCAGTTACCTCTAGGAGTCCGCGGATCAACTGGTCTCAATTGGCAGAGTGGCATCATCTGATCATGACGGCTGGTTCGTCATGGGTCGAGCGCTGGACAGCCATGAGGCCTGTTGATGAGCGCGGCCAAGAAGGTCACGGGCGGAGCAAGTTATGGGACTCTGTGGACATGTGTACGATTGAGAGAGATATTACAGAATCACGTCTACATCTTCACAGAACCTTTCTCAAAGCGACGGAAAATCTGGTCAAGCGGCCACGACGACCACTACACAGACCAGAAGAGATACGGTTCCTTCTCATACTCCTCGCAAATCCGTTGATCTACCCATCAAGTTCTTCCTTGCGACCTGTCAATCTCACCCAATCCCAAGGTGGCAGGCGGCCGTCCCATCCAAAGGAAAGTGGTGAGAGGATACCGCCCCGTGATGCTAGACCTTCTCGCAAAGAACAATTGGGGCCTTCTGCGCCTCGCAGTGGGCCTCCAGGCCATCATTTTGGCATCGTCAAGCGCATACTGGGCTTAATGGCACACTTACCCAATGATTGCCATCACTATCTCGTCTCCTGGTTTTCACGCCTTCCTACTGGACAGTTTGAGAAAATAGTGGACCTGGTGGGCAGCTTCGTTACTTACCGTCTTAGTCGGCAGCAAGGACGGAAACGCAGCGAGGCTATCGAAAATGATAACAGTCTGGTACCCAGTTTCAGTAGTGCAGCTGGGAATACTCCTGCGGAACTGCACGCTGCCATTAATGGTAGAAGTCCCAGCAAGCCAGCAAAAGACAAGCGGAATAAGCCCGTGGTGTACGGTGATGATTGGCAGATCCGGGCGGCCGCAAGGGTGATGTCTCTGCTATTTACGGCAAACGATACGAGTGTTGCTCGGAAGCCAGATGCAGCATTTGGCCAGGAAGCAAGGTCCTCGACAAATAGAGCTGCGGGGCCTCGCCGAGGACACAAGATCCCAATTAGCGCCTTCTATAATACACTCCTGGATTATTCCGACCTCGTGGCGGATTTCGAAGCCTGGGAGTCAAAACTGGCCAAGTTCTCGTTTTGTCAATATCCTTATTTCCTCAGTATTTGGGCGAAAATACATATAATGGAACATGACGCTCGTCGCCAGATGGAAGTCAAAGCTCGGGAGGCATTCTTCAATAGTATACTGAGTCGAAAGGCGATAAGTCAGTATCTTGTATTGAAGGTCCGGCGAGATTGTCTGGTTGACGACAGTCTACGAAGTGTCAGTGAAGTGGTGGGTTCTAACCAAGAAGAGATAAAAAAGGGCCTCCGCATTGAGTTCGTTGGCGAAGAGGGTGTTGATGCGGGAGGACTTCGCAAAGAATGGTTTCTTCTGCTTGTTCGGGAAATTTTTGACCCTCATCACGGTATGTCGACGGCGCCAAAACGAAAGAGAGCTCAAGCTGATTGATACAGGACTCTTTCTATACGACGAGGACTCCCGATTCTGCTATTTTAATCCTTATTGCTTCGAATCATCTGAACAGTTTTTCTTGGTCGGCGTGCTTCTTGGACTGGCTATATACAATTCAACGATCCTAGACATTGCTCTTCCACCGTTTGCCTTCAAAAAGCTGTTGGCTGCTGCTCCGCAGACCAGCGGGCCGCAACCATCGAGTGCCCGGTCGAACTACAGGTGTACTTTGGATGACCTGGCAGAATACCGTCCTGCACTCGCCAAAGGCCTTCGGGCTCTTTTGGAGTTTGATGGAGATGTTGCCGATACATTCTGTTACGACTTTGTGGCCCACGTCGATCGCTATGGCGAGGCTGTTGCGGTGCCTCTCTGCCCTGGAGGCGAAACGAGGCCGGTCACTAATGCGAATCGACGGGAGTTTGTGGATTTGTATGTTCACTACATGCTAGACACAGCAGTCACTCGACAATTTGAGCCCTTCAAAAGGGGATTCTTTACCGTATGTGGCGGCAACGCGCTCTCGCTGTTCCGACCCGAAGAGATCGAGTTACTTGTTCGCGGCTCGGACGACGCACTGGACGTTGCCTCGCTTCGAGCGGTTGCGACATACGACAATTGGTCACATCCCCGGCCGGAGAACATTCCGGTTGTGCGGTGGTTCTGGGAATTTTTTGAGAATACCGACCCCCAGGCGCAGAGGAAGATTCTTTCGTTCATCACAGGCAGTGACCGAATACCGGCCATGGGGGCGACAAGTCTTACGATCCGGCTGGCATGCCTCGGAGACGATGCGTCGCGGTATCCAATCGCACGAACGTGTTTTAACACGCTAGKCCTGTACCAATATCCCACTCGGGAGAAACTGGAGCGGATGCTCTGGGAAGCAGTGGGGAACAGCGAAGGGTTTGGACTGAAGTGATAGAGTATATTGTGAGAAACTCCGAATAGATACCTTGTATACACACCTCAGGGGCAGGTAACCCTGTAAGGAGCTGATTATGATCCTTGTCAATGCCATTTTTAGTTGAGGGATGTCATATGTCTCCGGTGAGCGGTAGCCGCTATATCTCTAATGTTCGTACTTTTCCATCTGTCTACTCATACCTGTCTCAGTCGTCGCTGTTCTAGTCTGTCACATGACGCCAGACTCGAAGAAAAGCAAAGAGACTCGTATCAAAAAGTGTTGAGACGTGTCTATTGGTCTCATTATTGAGCACCCCCAGATTGGCGTGGGATTAGAAGAGTTCTAGACCTGAAAATCTCACCGTTGACAGTCGATACGTCCGAAGAGGGAAGATCCAGGTCATCTATTCATACTTAATCGGTGTAAGGATTCGATCTGTTCTCAGGTCATGGGACACTAGCGATAGAGCAGCCGAGCCATTGACTTTCGGGGTTCCCGGGGCAGAAATAAACAAAGACAATAGGAAGAGTTGATATCCGACAAAGGATCAGTGCCTTTACTGTTTGGGGTATGCATGTGCATTGTCGCAGTCAGTCAGTGTCAGCATCCCACATACAGTACAGTAGCGCAGTAGACAGCTGTTGTGGAGAAGCGGTGTGATATCCTTGTGGACGTATGGAGTACAGGTACCTTAAGGTAGTCTAGACCCTGGGGGGAAACAGAGCAGACTCGGTTGTGCATGCGGAAGGTACTATTGTCTGACAGTATTTGTTTTTGTTCTTGGAGGTTGACTCGTTGAGAGTGGCACTTGAATCATACCGCCATATTATTATTGTTGTTTACTTCCTATCTACTTTCTATCTAGTCAGGAACGACAATATGCTCTCTGACAGCGACAACCAACCTGTTTGCCTATGACGAGGTCATAGCGGGGCCAAAACGGGGACATTCTAGGAGAGTCTGTGGGGGAGAAACGTCATTGCGGATACGGGAGCTCTGCCACCGAGGAATTGATTTCCACTGTTTGTACTCTTGTAGCTTTGGGAAGAGAAGAAAGAAAAATTGGGTGTGATGGTTAGTGTCTAGATGGATTCCAGGGGTCAAGTGCTAAAATGGAGCTATACTCCCCAGGTGAAGTCATTTTATCCACTTGCTTCCTGTGTGCCGTGATGTTTTGTGAAGGTTTGCTCTGTGAAGAGTCCAGATGGAGATATCGTATCGGGAATACCGATGGCGTGTAATTTGGGTATGGTCCACTGGGACACGGTTCACTGTACACGTCGGCCACTGTCTGGTATTCAATTGATCGACTTTCGACCTGACGTGCATAGTCAATTGATATCGCGGATAGAAATTGAATTGGTCAACGTGAAAATAAAGATCACCACCCGCGTGAATAATTAAACTAAAAGGCAGAAAGATTATTCTTTTTGCCAGTACGGAGTAGCTTCGGGGAATCGGGCTGGGAGCACAAGGACATCACCTGACAGTGGAACTCTGGGCTGTTTGTGCTAGACCCACTGCGATGGAGCGTAGTGTCCCGAGCCTAGGACCAGCTTCCGTCGATGGCTGATTCCGATACAGTTTGTGCTTGACCTGCCCTGGTTAAGTAGATGAATGAATGGAGGAAAAGATGGACAGTCTGACTTCATTGGCACCGGGAAGTGCATGCCTGAGGTTAGCTTTTGCTGTTCCCCCTCAGTTCCCCTCCTTCACGGTTTGGGATTTGGATCCTTGAAACGAAATCATAAGTAGGCTTGTCTTTCCTCCTTGTCTTCTCTTTTCTTCCTCATCTTCTCTCCATCTTCCTCTTCTTCATCTTCATCCTCTTCGCATTCTTTCCTGCTTCCCTTATCTTCCTTTCTCGGTAAGTTCGACTTGCTTCTTTTTGTTCTCTTCGTCGAGCTTTGCCTTGAGTATCTGATATTGACTGTCGAGTGTTATAGATCGCAAGGCTTCATTCCACCTCACATCAATCGCAATGGGATCCAATCTTCCTCAGACCATGAAGGCTCTCAGATATGAGAAGCCTGAGGTCCACAGCGTTGTCCAGGTCCCTCTGCCCACTCTCCGTGAGAACGATGTCTTGGTATGTAGTCGACCCAATAAATATTCTGCACACCTCAGAATCGGATGGCTGACCCATAATGCATGTATAGATCAAGGTCAAGGCTTGCGGTGTCTGCGGTACCGATCTGCACATCCACGAGGGTGAATTCATTGCCAAGTTCCCCCTGGTTCCTGGTATGCCTGATGCTCCCTCGACAATCGCCGTCGTTCTCGAACATTAGACTAACCGCGGCAGGCCATGAGACTGTTGGCGTTGTCGCTGCTGTCGGCTCCAAGGTCAAGGGTTTCGAGATTGGTGAGCGTGTTGTTGCCGATAACTCTGAGCTCTGCGGCGAGTGCTTCTACTGCCGTCGCGGTGATGAGCTGTTCTGCGAGCACTTTGAGGCTCATGGTGTCACCATGAACGGTGGTTTTGCCGAGTACTGTGCCTATCCTGGTATGTTGTAGAGCCTCGACCCAACCACAGTGTCTTGCAACTAACCATACCGGACTGTAGCCAAGAGAGTCTTCAAGATCAAGAACCTCTCCGATGTCGACGCCACTCTCCTCGAGCCTGCTTCCTGCGCCGCCCACGGTCTGGACAAGATTGCTCCCAAGATGGGCTCTTCTGTTCTGCTGTTCGGTGCTGGTCCCACTGGTCTGGTACGTGGTTTCAGGTCTGGTAGCTCTGTAACATGACTGGAAACTGACTGTGCGTAGATCCTTGCTCAGATGCTCCGTCTGAACGGTGGATGCAAGGTTACCGTTGTTGCTCCTGAGGGTCTCAAGATGGAACTGGCCAAGAACCTCGGTGCCGGTGACGAATACGTCGCCCTCTCCCGCAAGGACCCCTCCGCTCAGTTCGAGAAGCTCAAGTCGGAGAACCCCTACGGCTTTGACATCGTTGTCGAGGCCACTGGTAACCTCAACATCCTCAATGACTCCATCAACTATGTCCGCCGCGGCGGTAAGCTCGTCGTGTACGGTGTGTACGCCAACAAGGACCGTGTCTCGTGGCCCCCTGCCAAGATCTGTAAGTTTTTCTTCCCATTGTTTCCACCGAGTGTTTGCTGACAAACACGTTAGTCGGTGACGAGATCAACATTGTCGGCAGTTTCTCTGAGGTGTACAAGTTCCCTGCTGCCATCGACTACCTTGACTCGGGCAAGGTCAAGGTCAACGGCATCGTGAACAAGGTCTTCAAGATCGAAGAGTGGGAGCAGTGCCTGGAGTCGATGAGAAACAAGTCCGCAATCAAGGCTGCCATTGTCTTCGACTAGAGGGTTGATGGGATAGACTTGGGTTGGGGTCAGACAAAATCTTGGATTGGATCAGAACCAAGTTTTGAACATACTTCATGTAATGATTTATGACATATGTGATGATATTATTCCCTGAATAATAGAAAGAGAATTATCTCCAGTACTTGCAAAGTACTGGCCTAGGTTCATGGGAGGGCCGGCCTGGTTATATCTGTAGGCGAGCGAGGACCTTGAGGGAGGTGACTTGTTGGTACCATCAGTCCCCAAGGTAGCAGTGACGTATCTCCGGATTGGCCTACCACTACTCCATGCAACAATACATTACCCTTAAATTACTAAAGATTTGATGCAAATTAAGTCTGTTCAAGTTAACTTCTGTAATTAGCAATTCATAAGTTGTAAGGTCTAAAATTGAACTCAGGAAAGCAAAAACCACTGTTGTAAAGGACTGCATCCCAATCCACTCCGCTCCACCTCCAATAATCCTCCAACGCTCACAACTCCCCACCACACGTCCGAACTTGTCGTCAACCCGACCCGGAAACGAAAAAGAAAAGAAGAGAAAAATGGTCAAACCCCTAACCTTCAAAGGCGACAAGCCCAAAAAGCGCAAACACCGCGAATACGCCTCCACGGAATCGAAATTCGGCGCGGACACAGGCACAGGCACAAGCCCAAGCACAAGGACCCCCGCAGAGGAAACCCAGCACCTCGAAGACAGCGCCGAAGACCAAAGCTGGGTGTCGGCCGACGCGCCGTCGGATATCGCAGGCCCGGTGGTGCTCGTTCTGCCGTCCGACCCGCCAACGTGTATCGCGAGCGATGCGAACGGCAAGGTGTTTGCCAGCGAGCTGGAGAATCTGATTGAGGGGGATGCCTCGACGGCGGAGCCGCATGATGTGCGGCAGGTGTGGGTTGCGACGAAGGTGGCGGGGACGGAGTCGTTGAGTTTCAAGGGGCATCATGGGAAGTACGTCGGCCCCGTCTGGGAGATTCCTTGAAAGGGAAGGGGAAATGCTGATAACGGATGGCGACAGATACCTAAGCTGCGATACCTACGGCATCCTGAGCGCCTCCGCGTCCGCCATCTCGCACTACGAATCGTTCCTTGCGCTCCCCTCGACCGATGTCCCGGGTACGTTTGCGCTGCAGACCGGCGGAGGCGATAAGGAGGCGTTTGTGTGTGTGCGGGAGGCTACGTCGAGCAGCAAGGCGAGCGGGCGCGTGATCGAGGTGCGCGGCGACGCGAGCAGTCTCGGGTTTGAGACGACGCTGCGGATCCGCATGCAGGCGCGGTTCAAGCCGCGGATCAAAGCGAGCAAGGAGACTAAGGCGAGGGAGAAGATTAGTCGGAAGGAGTTGGAGGGGATTGTGGGGAGACGGCTGGAGGAGCATGAGGTGAAGAGGTTGAAGAGGGCGAGGAGGGAAGGGAATTTCCACGAGGAGGTGCTCGATGTGAGGGTTAAGGGGAAGCATGATAAGTTTGCTTGGTAGGTTTTTGCCTATTCCTTTTTCCTTTTTGAGTCTGGCTAATGCTGATGTCGATGTTGGTAGATTGGCGGGCGAACCTATGAAGATCGATTACCTGCGTTTGAGATTGAGACGCAGTAAACAGTTGCATTTCCGGAATTCCCAGCGAAAGGCCCTTGAGCAGATGACGCGAGAATGCGTGCTACAGTTCTACGAGCGCGACATTGTTATCTG